GTTTAGACTATGGCTCACATGTCCGCACCACCTACGAAGGAGGTCCCCACGGGGGATGGACCTGTCTTGCTAGGGAAAATTTAATTTGGGGATCATAGAAAACCGCCTATAAAGCTTTCGTATATTACCATTACACATTAGGGGGCTTAGGGGTGATGATTGCGGGGAACTTATCCCCTGACCCTCCAAGTACCCTAATGCCCTAATCCCTAAACCACTTACTAGTTCCCCCTGACCCTCCAAGTACGGTTGCCACTACTTGTCCGATCCGTCAATCTACACCCTATTGTATTATAGTAATTTCCATTTTCTTTTCCATTATCCCAATGTAACTCTAATATAACCCTAAACCCTGATATAACCCCTATATAACTTAGGTCAATCCCCCCTATAGTAATGGCTCCTTAATAAGGAATTATTAGGGCCTTAATATACCTACAATAGTCCCTTGTGGTACCCATTACTGGGTGGGGGATTGACCCAATATATAACCCCTCGGCCTCCTGCAAAGCCCGCGCTGTAAAGGATGTGAGCACTGGGAGCCGGAGCTCTACGGACTCGAAATCCGCCTGGGCTTAGGGTCCTATTCGGGGTTATTTCAGGATAATGGAAACGAAAACGGAAGCTACTATGTAGGGTTTATGGTTTAGGGGTTTAGGGTTGAGAGTTTAGGGTTGAGGGTTTCGGGTTGAGGGTTTAGGCTTTAGGATTCAGGGTTTAGAGTCTTGTTGGGGAAGCTGAAGCCAAATGATTTAGTATGTCGAGGAACTTCATTTGAATTACCCGTATAAGGGAACCATTTTACCATACACCCATACACGGAAACATGCTTGAAGTTCCTGAACTCTACAAGCCCGAAACATTAAACCCAGAACCCCAAACCCTGAACCCCAAACCCTGAACCCCAAACCCCAAACCCTCAAGGCCTAAAATGTAGTTTCCCTAAATAGGGGGACCCCAATATGGACCCCAAAGTACTATAGTCCTTATTATAAGGAACCCTTAAGTGGTACCCCTCTTTTTTGGGAAACTCCCAAATATACTGTTTAACAACCCAGCCACTCCCCACGGAGTGCCCGGGCCGCCGGCAGAGGCGGCTTGCGTCTGCGTCGGAAAAGACTCTGTCTGGCAGACAAGATCCCATGCCGCCTGCAGACTAGTCGGGTCTATAGGGTTTAGGGTTTAGGCTTTATAGGGTTTAGGGTTTAGGGGTATGTAGCGGTATATGAGGTTTTAAGGTTTTAAGTTTAGGGTTTAAGTTACCGCAGCAGCCTGCAAGACTCCACAAGGAGTTTCTGCAATGTTCAGGGAAGCATTCTTGCTCAAGTCTCTGCGGCATGTCCAGCAACAGATTTGTCGGGCTTGAGGTTCAACTCTTGCTGTATCCGCAAAATCATAGAGTAGATCTCCACCACCTCCTCTGCAGGATTCATTGTCACAACGAAGAACTGCTTCCTGCTCGATGTGGACGCGTAGTGAGATGAGGTACGTCAAGCTGGACAGCAAGTCGCCTGGTGTCTTCTCATCTGTTTCCAGTTCAGTACCGACACCGGCCCCATGCCCTTCACCCTCTTCGGCCTCACCTGGCGCAAGAAGAGTTGAAGGCGCCACCAGGCGTATGATGTCGCCATTTCGGAGAGCAATGCCACTCCTCCCAGCTGGAACCACCTTCTCACCAGCAACCACAGGGTTGCTGCTGAGGTTGTCCATATGCAAGGAAGCCCTTCGATGGTCGAATCGCAACCGCAGATGCTCGCGGGAGACACAAATCAAGGCATCTTTTGGAAGTTGGGCTTTCAGGAAGGGATGGCTCCTACCAAGGATGATCCCTTTGTCGTCCTCCTTGGATTCATCCAATTCCTCTCCTTCCACGGGCAGCCAAGAGTCAACCCCGTCCTTATCCTCTCTTTGGCCAACAGCTTTTAGCCAGCATTCCGCTGGCTTACGCGACTGCGGCTCAGTAGCAGTATGCACGCCCTCACCCGCACAACCCCAGCGCCAAATCTTGAGCATGATCTCGGGTGGAGCAGGAATCAACAAGGTCGGCTCCATGCAGAAGAGCTGCATGCCAAAAATTAGGAAGCAACCTTCCTTGGGGTCTCCTTAGACCTGTAATAAAGATAATATGTTCAATATCTCCTTATTGTTATACCATGATATAAATCAAAGATGATTCCTAAGGACAGTACAGCTTCCTTGGGGTCCACATGAAAATACAGCTCCAGCTTGGGTAGCATCTGGATGCTCAGAATGTCCGGCTTCTTCGGGTCCGGTCTTGAGAAGAGGACCATGGGATTCAGCCGCAGGAGAGGCTCGGACTCAGGAAAGAGCCATTGCTCTCCTTGGATTCTGCCAAGGAACTTAAAGTCTTAGGGTATATGGATGAGATTTTAGGGTGTAGGGCCGGGATATGGATATGTGGTACAGTATGGGGTGTCCTAATGATAGTAACTAAACTTCTTTAAGGTCCTTGATTCCCATACATTACAACTCCTAAATAAGCCCAGGTACCATTTCATGTTTGGCTTTCTTTTCCATTTGATTATCCATTTCGGTAACTTCACAACCAAGACTAAAACCAGATTCAAACAAAATTATTTCGCAGCACAATAACCATATGAACCATAGTCTACACTCCTAGTATCCTTAATGACCCCTAGCCATTTCGGTAACCTCACAACCAACCCTAAGACCAGATTCAAACAAAATTATTTCGCAGCACAATAACCATATGAGACATAGTCTACACTCCTAGTATCCTTGATGACCCCTAGAGTAATTCCCTATGGAATCCATTGTATACCCCCCCCTTTGAGGAGTTTAGGCTGTAGTTCATATACTCGGATGCAACCCTAGCCCCAATCCCTGAAGCCTAAACCTTAAGCCCTAAACCTAAACTCTAAACCTTGGGTACTGCCCCCCCCTCAGTAACAGTTGGATAATATTTATAATATGGTTATGTATAGCCCTTAATAGGACCCCTAATATAGACTGTTACTGGGCGGGGGGGAG